CTTTCAAAATTCCTTATATTTCTTTCCTCTTAATCTTAATGGCTTCATCATCCCGTGCTAAGATCCCCACAAGGAGAAGATCCGCTCCTGCTTTTCATCCCCGTCCAAATTCAGTTGAAGGATGGATCTCCGACGATGAAGGTAGATAGTAATTTCTGACCTTCTGGAAAGAAAGGGGTATTATCACTCCAAAATATATTATTGGTGATCAATTCATCAATAGGGGCTTCAACTTTCCAAATCTTCTTGAGCTGCAAGGTGTCCTTCCATTTATTCAAATGCAAGGTACTTACTACCCTGATTTAGTTAGGGTATTCTATTCACGTCTTAAATATAGAGATCATGTAGCCACTTCTAGAGTCAAGGGTGTGACTATCATCCTTGATGATGATATCTGGGAAAATGTTGCCCACTTTTCTGTAAGGGAGGATGCTATCAATGTTCTTGTGGAGTTAGAAGATTTTGATAGAATTATGGCTTACCGCTCATTTCTCTGAAACCCCTCCATGGAAATTGGCCGACTTCTATTGGCCGGACCATTAAAGAAGGAAGAACGCATGCTACTGCATCTCATTGTATGGATTTTGTGTCCTCGAGCAACAAATCATGCACAATGTTCATCTATTGATCTTCGCATTATTCATGCCATCATGAATAATGAGCCAATTGATTGGGGTAGTCTTGTTATTATGACCATGCTGAAAGCTAAGCGTCATCCAACCTTTAAAATCCCATATAAAGGAGTAAATGTTGAAGGAGAGCAAAGGGTCAAGACGATAAATTCAAATCGAATGCTTGACAGCACGCTCACTCAATTACAAATGGTGCGTGTAAATGGAATTTACGTTCACAAAGATGACACTCCCAACATGGCTGAAGATGCTCAAGATTCTGATGAAGAGATGTCTACTGCTAAAATTCCTAAAGAAAACATTCATACTACTGAGACATCTTCTGCTCATCCTACATCCCGTCCATCTATGGAAGATATGCTCTTTGATATGAATCAAAGAATGCAAGAATTCTTCACTATTTCTCAAGAACGGCATCAGGAAATCATTCGCCGTATTTCGGATGTAGATGATAGTGTTTGTAACTTAGAAGATAGATTTGATGCCCAATTTAACAGTGATGAAAGTGAAGAGTTTTAATCTCTTCAATATATCTTCTTGCTTGTAATTTATTTGATTTATGGAATAAAATTGGTATTTTTGCTTTGTTTGAGGGGGAGCTTTTTCTATATTATGCACTTATTGAGGGGGAGCTTTCATTTTTTTGATCATAATCAAAATAGGGGAGAAATTTTTTAAAGCCTCTTATGTTTGCTTCTTATGTTTGTTATGTTTATTAAATTTAAATATTGTCTAGTATGTTTAATGTTTTGTTAGCTGTGACAGACAAAACAAGTTATTAGAAAGGGCTTTAAAGGAAATTTTGATCATCATAAAAAGGGGGAGATTTTGAATATACAAGGATATGAATGTTGAACATACAAGAATATGAAGTTTGTAGATTTTGATGATGATTCAAGAATAAAGGACTTAAAGATTTGAAGACTTGTAATGTTATGTAATAACTCTGTTTTTATGTTTTTGAGTCTGTAATATTAGAGTTCAAGATATCCAACACATAGACCACTCTTTAAAAGCTCTAAAAACTCATTTTTATCAAATACACTGGAATAATCGATTAAATGGCAGGATAATCGCTTATTACAGAAAGAAAACCATTTTCAGTATTTTCTCTCTGGAATAATCGATTAAATGGCCTGTTAATCGATTAAATGGGTTGTTAATCGATTAAATGACCTATTAATCGATTAACTCGTGCTATTTTTGCTCCTCTGCGATAATGGCTTTGGAATAATCGATTAACACTTAAGATAATCGATTATTTAGGTCTGATATGTGTTTTGAAATTCAAAATTGGACAAAGTTTCGAAAACCCTATTCCCAATTCATCCAATTTTGAAAATCCCCAATTCCCAAACCCTAATCTCTCTACTTAAGGTTCTCTAAGGCTCTCTGCAAATAGAACAACCTTTTTCATACAAAATTTAAGAGTTTTGACTGCTAGAGAACTGTTTGTAGGAAAGAAAAAGGGGCTTTTGAAACCTAGTGTTGGCTAGAAGCGATAAGAATCACTGAGTGGGTTTCTTGGTGGATTGTGTGTTGTGTCATCTCTAGAAAAAACTGTTCTTCATCCTTTGTGGATTCAAAGGAGGTGTTCACCTCTTGTGTGACTCAATAGAGGTATTTTCTTTACCTTATCTTTTCATTTGTAATCTGTTTGTAAAACTGTGATTATAGTGGCAACGTTAATCCTCTGTTTGAGTGATTAGCAGCTGGACGTAGGGTCTTTTGATCCGAACTAGTATAAATCGACTGTGTAATCTTCTATCCCTTCTCTATTTACTTTACACAACATTTTAATCGGTGAAATTTGGGAAAAAATTTAAAACTCTAATTTTTGTTTAAGAAATCAATTCACCCCCTCTTGTGGTTTTTGTCCATAAATGCAAACATTTCGCTGCGCGATTCTAACACATAGAACACATCTTGGATTAACTAGACTAGGTCATTATTTTGCAAAAAAAATAAAAATAATACCTCAACCTTTTACAGAAAGACCTTCGAATCATTTCCAAAAGATACATGATCGCCCTCAAATTTCTTTAATTTACTACATAGGTGCTCGTCCCCCAAATATAGTTACTTGCACCCATGTCTAAATACCATATAAAATCTTTTGAGTTGTAATATGCTCCCAAATATACTAGCGAGTTGTGATTGTCGCCACCATCAAAAGAGGCAGTCGGAGCGATGCGATGGTTTTGACTTCGACTCGTGTTTTTAAAGTGATGTTACAACGCCTTTAGGTTGTTCGATAATCGGGTTGGACCTAAAGGTGATGTTTTCGAAAAGGGTTCTGGAGTCGCCACCAATGTTTTATCCAGAAACATTGGAAAAGGAAGAAAAAGAAGGCGTTGGTTTAGAAAAACCAACTTTGGCCATTATGACCAGAGTTGGGTAAGGAAGTTAGTTATGTGTTGGGAAGATATTAGCTTCCCTACGATGCCCCTTTCGGGTTCCTTATGATGGACCGTTTATTTTATAAATAAAAAACTGTAAAATTATGCTTTTACCCTTATTTATTCAGTTACGGAAATTAAAATGTTGACTACATGGTCCTAACATCTAATGCACAGATAGATGTAATAAAAAAGTGATAAAAGAAGATAGAAAGTGTAAGAACCTTCGAAACAAGCTTTTGTATTAATATTCTTAGTAAAGAAAGGCGCATTTTGGCAATGTTGATCGCTCTCTCTTGCAACATTAGCAAATGCTCACTAAGAATACTAAGAAACTCCGTAAATGCTTCGGAGGGATCCTAGGAGAAGAATTTGAGAAAGTTGCAAAAGGGAAAGTGGAAGAATGTCGTGAAAAGGAAGGGGTCGCACCCTCCTTTTATAGGGATTCGCGCCTATTAGGTCAGGACCGTCGTCTCGCCTGACAAGGTCGAGACCGCCGTCTCGCCAAACGGGACGGCGGTCTCGCCCTTGACAAATGGAGAGAAGGCCGTCTCGCCAAACGAGACGGTGGTCTCGCCCTTCGCCGATGGCAAGACGGCGGTCTCGCCAAGCGAGAACGCGGTCTCGGCCTTCTAAGTGGAATTCCTTATTTTTTTTCTATACAAGAAACCTTCCTACTCTAATATGAGACCTATTAGTCTATCCTAGGAACCTTTTAGGCCTTGCCCATCTTCCAATTGGAGGTCTTCTACTCTTTATTTTGAGGCCAGGAAAGATTTGGTATCTACAGTGATCAACATTTGCTCCCTTATGTATTGCCAAGTTGTGATCGACATTCTTGTCAGTTGTCGAGTTGTGGTCGACGATCAATAGTATTGTTTCTTCCATTTTTGTTTCTTCTACGAGATAAGTCTCTTCCACCTTTTGACATTCTTTTGCAAAGGGTCAAACCTCACCATAATTGTAACACTTGTTTGAGTAACAATCCTTTGCATAGTGGTCATATTTGTTACACTTGAAACACTCAACATTATAATGACTCGTCGATTAACCTCCTCTCCAACCACGTCCACTACCTCACTAGTTTTGTTGATTTTCTTCTTCCTTCTTGCCACCTCGGTCACGACCACTATGTCCTTTTCCTTTACCTCTACTATTTTGATAATAGAAAACCTTCTCCTATTTTGCCTTGTTTTGGAGAAATTGTACAATCATCTCCTCCTTCTTTTTCTTCTTTTAGTGTTCATAGGATTTTAAAGAACCAACCAACTCTTTTATTGTAAGCTCGGACAAGTCCTTTGCTTCCTCTATAACTCACACTATGTTCTCAAATTCATCTGTTAAAGACCTCAAGATCTTTTCAACGATTTGTTATGTGAAAAATGTCTCTCCATTATGATTAAGTTGTTTCACCACATTTTCAACATGCAAGATGTATTCGAAAACTCTTTTTGACTCATTCATTCTCATACTCTCCATCTCGCTACACAATGTTTGTCACTGAATTCATGTTCCTTGGTTATCGTTCTTGTACTCCTTCTCCAATGCATCCTACACTTCGGCTATAGATGTAGCTTCTACAATTTGATAAAATTGAAATCTTCTATAGCTTGAAACAACGTAGCTCTATTATTTGAACGTTCCTCCTTCAATGCCTTGAAAGTAGAGGTCATCCATCCTTCCGTAGTTTATGATTCTTCAAAATCTTCCTTTACTACTTCCCAATAATCTTGAGCTTTGAAGAGAGCATTCATTTGGATACTTTATCTTAGGAAATAAAAATTTCCAAAATCAAATAATAACCATAAAATATATATTAAAATGTCCCAACAAACTCATAATTATCTTTTTTATTTAATTTTATTCTAATAAAATCTTAAACTAATTATCTTCTTATTTATTATCTTTTTAATTTAATTTTATCCTACAAGATTGGCGGTCCTGCTCCAAATCACCTAAGACTGGTTAGCGGCGAGACTGGTTAGCGGCGAGCTTGGTTGTGCGACATAGTGGAGGTGCCAGGCGGTGGATCGCGGTGGTTCTTTTGAAGGTTTGGCTGGGGTGGCTGGCCACGGGCTGCAACATATTCTGTAGTCTTCTCTCCTCGAATTTCGTCTGACTGCTTTGCCTCTTCTCATCAGTGCCCCTTCATTTTTCATTATGCATTCCTTTTAAGGCACTTTAGCTCAAATTGTTCTATAAAATGGATTGGATTTTTTTAAATATAAAATATTAATAAAAAAACTATATTTTTAATTATTTCCTTTTTCATTTTTTATATATTTCAATTATTTATTTTTTAAAATATTTTTAATTATATAAACAAAATTAGATGCTTGCACCACGTTTTAATTAAATGAAAATATAGTCTCTAATAATTATCTCAAGGAAAATTATAATTTATTTACATCTTAGATCATAAGTATTAAGTAGTCACAAAGGCGGATTTAAGAGGCCTGCAAGGGCCACGGTCCCCCAATTGCAGGGCAATTTTTTTTATTATATATATAATAATTATTTTTTTAAATTAAACAAAAATATTTTATAAATACAAATAAAATTAAAATTTTTTATTTTTTCTTAAATTTTGTGGATAATAAATATCATATTTATTTTTTATATAATTTTTCACTTATATATCTTTTTTCTTTCTTCCATTTTTAGATTTTTATCTTTCTCGTCACCTTTTCATTTTTCCACTTTAACTTTTCTTATCATATACCAATTTTGTCTTTTCATATTTCTATTTTTTATTTTTATCATGCATTCACTTTTATATTCTTATTAAAGGTAAAATTACAAATATATCAAAAAGAATAAATCAAAAATAGAAAAAATGTTAAAAAATCATGTTGGTAATTGAAGGTATAGAGAAGTTGAGAATCAATTATAATTAAAGGACATATTGAAGAAAAAGGAAGAATTTAATATGATTTGTTGAATTGAAAGGACAGAAGGTACAAATGATGAATAATTAGGAAGTACTTAAAAGAATAAGGATTACCAAAAAAAGGATAAAATAATAGATTAAAAGATAAAAAGTCACAGGTGTGACGAGTCCAAACATCGAGAGATTGAAAGAGTAGAAGACATTGAGACTCATGGTGCAAAATGACAAATGTGGAATATTAAGGGAAAACAACATAATTGAAAAGGTATGAGAGACAATTATTACCTCATTTGCACTAATATTTGGGACGTGACGACAATGTGGGTCAAAAAAGAGAAGGTAATTTTAATAAAGTAACCATTTGTGGATCTTTTTATTTGAGTATATTTTATTTTAATTTGTAATTTTTATTTGATTGGGGTATTTTTTAGCAGTTACACATAAGAAAAATATAAATATGGGGAAATAAATGTAAGGAAGGTGATTGTCAAATTGTACGAAGAAATTTATATTCTGAAAAATGCTACGAACACAGAAGAAACATTTTCAATAGAGTTCTTGCAATTTGGATCGTCACTTCCATTGATTTTCTTTACCAGTTTCTGTTTTATAGTAGTACTTTGATTAATCAAGGAGAGGGGTTGAATGCAAATCTTCGACAAGAAAATGAGAATGTAGGGGTGATTTTGATTTTGCCAAATGAATATGCTAATGTGTATAAGAAAAGTCAGACAAGGCAATATTAGAATAGAGAAGATTACTATGAGCTTGATTTGCAACCTAAAGCAGTTTGAGTCACTCAAGTTTCATGTGAGTCACCTCATAAAGATGCAACATTGATAAATCCACCCAATAAAGATATGAGGTTTCATTTAAAACCTTTAATGTTGAAATTAGAAATCGAGAGTGTTGGGGTGAATAAAGTGTTCATCCATGGAGGAGCAATTGTAAATATATTACCTAAATCCATGTTGAAAAGATTTGGTAAGAAAGAAGAATATCTAATAAGGAACAACATTCTAGTGTCAGATTTTAGTCGGAAGTCATCGAGTTCAAAGGGGATGATAGCCCTTGACGTGATAGTGGGAACTTATACAAGGACTATTGTGTTTGTGGTAGCAAAGTCTCATGCAATTTTTAATGTTTTGCTTGGGAAGAGAATGAATACATGGCATGGGGGTAGTACCTTCAACTGCTCATCAAAAGCTATATATATATGGAATCAAGATGGTCATTTGGAGGTAATTCAAGGGCATCAGACTGACTATGTAGCTTATGTGTCTCATGCAGATCAACCTTTGAGAAACTTAGCCTTGACTAAGTTGTTTACCTTTGAGACTCCTGAAGATTTTAACTCGAAGATGCATAAGACATGATTTCCGGAATGCATCCTAATGAATAATTTTTGTTGAGGGAGGAGGCTAATCTCGAAGTGGTTAGGGGCAATGATTGAACCTCATTATGAAAATTCCTTGATTCGATTGCAAATTTATGTTGGTTCATTACGATTGTAGGAGAGTCAAGAAATCGTAAGTAATAGTAGGATCGAGTCGAATAAGTCAATATCATCGACACTAGTTTGCAATAAAGATCCACTAAACAATGAAGTTAAGTTAGATTGTATTATGATTTCTCGCCTTTTGGATTTGAAGAATCGAGTACAACAAGGAATAAGAAAGTTGAAGCCTAAAGTTGAAGCCTAGATCCATTGGAAGAAGTCGATTTGGGTGATGGGAAAGAAAGAAGGCCTACTTATATAAGCAAATTATTAAGTGAAGAGATGAAAGAAGAGTTTATTAAGATACTTAAGATGACAAAGCGCTGAGCAGATTGCTAATTTTTAGAAAAAGAGCTCTTAGGATTGATTCCGCTCATAGGATGAAAAAGCACTGAGCGATTTCCTCAAAGTTGATTTCGCTTAACGGATGGAGATGCGCTGAGTGGATTTACACTATTTCAGGTTTTATAATTTCTTTAATTTATCATTCCTACAAAAGAAAATAAATAATTAGTAAAAACATACAATAGCAATAATTTATATTAAGATATTTTTATTTTATTTTTACAAAACTATATTAATTATTAATAATTAATTAAGAAAATATATTAAATATTTATAAATTATATTAATAATATTATTGATAAAATGTGTTAATCAGTTCACCATGACATGCACCAACGTGCCCTAAGACAAACACCAATGTGTACTAAGACAAACACCAATGTGCACTAAGACAAGCACCAACATACACTAAGACAAACACCAACATGCACCAAGACAAGAACCACCATGCACCAAGACAACCACAAAGTTAAGCACTAACATGCACCAAGACAACCACAAAGTTAAGCACTAACATGCACCAAGATAAGCATCGTCTTACACCGGGACAAACACCAAGCCAAGTACGAATGTGCACCAATAAAATTTCCTTTTCTTCTTATTTTACTGCTTTTCGTCCAACCTTATTTGTTACAATTTTTATGCTTTATTAATCTCTTATCCTTTCTTGAATCCTTAGAAATGAACCTTCACACTTAGATAAGTGATTACTTCATGTCTAGTAGGAATCTTCCATGGGTTTTCTCGTCTAAATTGTACCAAACACCTTATTTTCTTAACTTAAAAACTACACTCATCATTTGGTATCAAGAGCTATGCTTTAAGATAAGGTGTTCCTTGTTTTATTGCTTAATCCTTCTTTTGTTATAGCTATTTCTTGTTTGGTACAAAACTATCCATCATTTTCTGATGGAAATATGCTTCCTCCTTCCACCAAGTATGGTGCTGAAAATTCTACACCATGAGCACCCAAGTGTTAACCAAAATTCTTCCCCAAGTTTCAAGAGAAACTTGGCACTTTCTCCTCCAAGGAAGGTTCCTTGTTAGGAGAATATGAGAAAGAGATCTCCAAAGATACTTGACGATAATCTAAATTTGGGGTACAAGAGCAATTATGCAAGATCCACACACAAGTTTTGACTTCATTCACATGTAATAAAAAAGCTACACAAGGGGTCATATATATATAGTTGTTCGCCTTTCATTCACTCACTCACCTAGGGGATATGGGACTAATTTGACATTATACAAGTGATGATCGAATTTCTCAATTACAAGGGGATTAAGTCCCACATTTCTTTTATCTACATGATTTTAAAAGTTTATATATGCTCATGTTTTCCATAGTCGCAACCAAGACTTGAAGCTTGGACCTTCTAGCTTGAAATTGGCGTTGGGAAAAAATATGAGGGAAATTATTGTAACTATTTTGTTTTATTCCAATGTTCTTCCTTGCTCCTATCTTTATCCTTTCGCCTCCTTCAAGTCTCACATTGCTATGATGAAGGCATTTCCACGTGTTTATATATGCCAAGTTTCCATAATGTGCAACCAAGTGAGGTGAGTGAAGGAGTGGTCATGAGCTTCCTCTCCATGTAACCATTCCATTGTTAGGCATTGGCTTTGTGGTTGCAGCCCATTTGAAGTCATTTGATTAAGCGTGTTCTACAAAAGAGAAAAGGGTGGTTTTTACAATTTTAATCAAAGTAAAGGTAGAAGAGGATATTAATAAAAGATATTCCAAATGAGGAGTGTTCGTGGGGAAACTTCTTCTTCTATCCCTTAGGTTTTGGGCCTTGGTTAAGGCCCAATATGTTGTGGCCTAGATGGACCTCCATCATTTTCTTTGGTTGGCACAAAACTGTTCAACACTTGAGGTTGGTGTCCATTCCTTGCTCACATAAAATTCTTGTGATCACATGAAAAGTATTTGATAAAATTCTTAACTTTAGAAAGACCCAAAAATGCATGATATGTTAGCTACATATTACTTCTAGTTCATGTCTGTTTGAGTCATTAAATGTTATTACCTTTTTTGAGTCATATGTCTCACATGCTTGTCACCGTCGTCAAAAGAGGCGGTCGGAGCGGCGCGATGGTTTTGGATTGACTCGCATTTTTTGAAAGAAGTGGTTCAATGCCTTTAGGCTGTCTGATAACTGGGTTAGACCTAATGGCGAGGTTTTTGAAAAGGTTCGAGGAGTCGCCATCAATGTTTTAACCTTAAACACTGAAAAAGGAATAAAAGAAGAAGAAGACAGTGGTTTTAGAAAAAACCAACTTTGGCCATTACAACCAGAGTCGGGTAAGGGAGTTAGTTACGTGTGGGGAATGTGTTAACACCCCACAACGCCCCTTTCGGGTTCCCTATGATGGACTAGTTCAGAAAATAAACACTTAAAGAAATTATGTTTTTACCCTATTATTCTATTTACTTGCATAATTTAAATGTCTACATGACCCTATTATCTAATGCACACAGAGAAAGCGATAAAGAAAGAAGTAAAGGAGAGAGAGAATAGAGAAGGAACCTCCGAAGCAAGCTTTATATTAACTCTTCAATCGCTTCAATAAAGAAACTTATGTGTGAATGATTATTTTAAGATGCTAGAATCTTTACTGTTAGGATCGGATTGCATGATGAAATAAATGAGGCTAAGATACTTAGGTTTGTTAGGGGTTTTAGGAGAGACATCCATGACTTAGTAGAATTGTATGAATACTCCTCCATGGAAAATGTTTTACACCTTGCCCTTAATATTGAAGCTCAATTGAAAAGAAAGGATGGGGCAAGGAGGAGTTATTCAAACAATGATTACTATAACTCTTCGTGGAAAGGAAAGGAAAAAGAAAAGCATGATAAAAATCTTTTTAAGTCTCACCAAGAGCCCACTCTTAGGGATAACACGACTAGGAACCCCACTCCTAACTCCCCCACCCCTCAATGGTCTAGTTAAATTAGATGCTTCAAATGCTTAAGGTATGGGCATAAAGCTTCTAATTGTCCAATCAAGAGAACTACGATTTTGAGTACAAGTGAAAAAGTTGAGAGCTAGCATTCTTCTCCCCCTTCAACCTTAAGAGAGAGTTCCTCTTGCTCATCTTCCTCCTCTAGTGAGGATGAAATCAAGCCTTGTGAGGGTGACTTATTAGTAGTGAAGTGCATGCTCGGACAAGTTCCAAAAGAACTTTATCACTCCTAGAGAGAAATTATTTTTCATATTAGATGTTATTATAAATACAGGTTAAGATCAAGAGGAGGGGGTTGAATTGATCTTTGAAAGATTTTTGCAACTTTTACAGATTAAAAATTTCCAAGATCAAATGAAATCAATCTTTTCTTGAAACAAAGGATAGCAAACCCAAATATAGGAATATGATAAAGAAGGAAAGAAAGAACAATAGAATTTATACCAGTTCACCCAAACCATAGGGCTACATCTAGTTCTCTACCAAATCTAGTTGAGGTCCACTAATCAAATTTAGTTGATTATAAGCATAAACCAGTATGTTATAATTATAGGCTGAGATCCAAAGGGGGGGGTGAATTGATCTTTAAAAACTTTTTCGCAACTTAAAGATACAAATTAACAATTTCAAAGATTAAGATATCTGATCAAGTATTAATCCAAGAAAACTTAAACTGATATAAGGAAAGTGATGAGTGAAGAAAAGAAATACCAAGATTTATACTAGTTCACCCAAACCACTGGGCTACGTCCAGTTCTCAACCAATTTCCAATTGAGTTCCACTAGATTGAAAATGTTTTGATTACAGAATCAAATAACAAAACACCCAACCTGCACCAAGAACCAAATTCCAGTTCTTGAACCTAACCAGCAACCAAGTTCCAATTGTAGAACCAATGCCCAATCTTCCAAACACCTAGAGTATACAGAAACTAAAAAGAATTGAAAGAGTTGAAGAAAATAGAACAATCAAACCGGTTATGCAGATGCAGAATTCCAATCTGCAGACTGAGTTTCTTCACAAGCAAGAACAAAAAATGCCTTAAGAAATTCTCAAATTTCTCACTAGAAGGAGCATGCTTCTCTCTTGAAAAGATCCTTAAAGATTGCTTGAATGATTTCTAAAAGATGTGTTTTAAAACATTGAAGCAAAATTGTTTATATAGACATTTTTCTAACTAACTGAACTAATTAATCGATTAATTTGTTCTTTAATCGATTAAAATATCGTGTCTTTAATGGTTTTAACTGATAAAAATATCAGTTAGTCGATTGACAAGTTCTACCAATTTTTCTCGTGGCGTTTTAACTGATAAAAACGCGGTTTAATCAATTAAAACAGTTGGGCGAAAATTCCTTAAGTGATATTAATCTATTAATTTGAGATTATATCGATTAAAATACTAGCAAAGGATTTCTCACAAACTTCATAAGTGATTCTAACTAATAGAAACACATTTTAATCGATTAAAACAGTTATGCAAAAGTTTCTTAAGTGATATTAATCGATTAATTCGAAGATATATCAGTTAATATACTGAGAGAATGTTTTCCAAAACTTCTTAAGTGAAAATAATCGATTAATTCGAAGATGTATCGATTAAAACTATGACAAAAAATGTTTTCACATGTTTTAAACTGTTTTAATCAATTAATTCGAAAATATATCGATTAAAAATGTGACAGAAGTGTTTTCAAGTTTCTTTAAGTGATTTTAATCGATTAATTCATAAATGTATCAGGTAAATCCGATACTTTAGAGCAAATTAACCGATTAAAAGGATTTTTAACAGATTAAAATATTTTGAGACTTTTTTTTTTCAAATGATAGAGCCTAATGTTGTAGGATTGGTTAGATGATTATACCTACTCAATATTGATGCAGAATCACTAAAGGACCATAACACTACATCTCTTATTCCATAATTCCTTTGACTTCATCAAATCTTTAAGATCTTTAATATTTCATCATCATCATCATCAGTCTACCCCTATTTGATGAAGACAAACTCCGTTTTGAATCCTGCAAAGAAGTCACTAGATGTTTTTGTGTTAGTGATGCAATTTAATGTTAGTGAGTTTATTCAATATTTATTTCTCCCCCTTTGACTTCATCAAAAACAGAGAAAAGAGGAGTCAATCAAAATAAAGTATGCATAAGATATTAAAGGTGCAAAGTGTTCTGGTCAGAAGCCTGTAAAATATTACAGACCCAGTAAAATTAAAAGAAAAATAGAAAGACAAAAGAAAAGAGTTGTGATAAAAAGAGGGACCCCTTTGCGTTTGACTGCTTAGTCATCCCATTGTCCTTGATTCAGTTGCATATCTTCGAGTTTGGTGTATATATCATCAATTTGGTTGCTGAGATTGGAGAATTGAGTATTGGTGTGT